TCAGATCCATTTTCTAAAGTTAAATCATTTTTTTCAGAAGCAAGCTTCATGTAATGAGCTATGTTACATAAATTTTAAAAATTTGTATAAAAACAGTGGATCTTAAAAACTTAAAAAACATTTATTTATAAAATGAAATTATTACTGACTTGTAACGTAAACAAAATCCAAATACATAACGAGACAGTTTTAGGATGATAAATAAATTAACAAATAAATAAATAAATATATATACTAGCTGCCCGTGTACCCTGCTTCGTACGGGTTAAGAAATACAATTGGAACATAGTACTCACAAGTTATACAAATTATTAGTTTATTATTAGTCATTATTATGATTATATTTTACTATCAAACTCCAACTCCATCACCATCTCTATTCCTATCCCCATCCCTATGGAAAAAATGGTAAACGTGTTAATGCCCGACTGGTTTGCTGTCACTATCAAATTTACGGTTTTGTTTTTATCAACAATAGTTTTGTTTTCGAGATTCATGTACAGGACTCTGTGTTGTCCTGATTCTTTGGGCTATGTTTTGAAATGTTACAGTCAAGGTGGTAATCTATCGAAGACTAAAATGGTAACTATAAAATTTGATATGTAAAACCATTTCTTTTTGGCCAGAAACTATAAATAAATATGATCAGCTGTCAACCGTCCATATGTCAGCTGATTAGCTGTCAGCTGTGATATTTGTTCAAATTGCGCCATCTTTTGGAATAAACTTTCACTAAAATTTTAATCTCTCAAGTTGGACCAAATTGCACACAGTAAAGAATGTATATATATATACATTTATTACTAGACCCATAATATTTCCTAGATCGTTAAACTGGTTTTTTTGTAAGGTAATAATCTAACTTGAATGATTCTGTTGACTATTTAAATTGTATTTTAACAATTAACAAAAAAACGAAAAACGAGGATGATGAAAATATTTTTTTTTGTATATAATCCCGAAAAACAGTCATCTTCTAGAAAGTTCTGATAACTTTTTCTTAATTTAAAACGTATATCTAAGAGGTATTACAAACTTTAATTAATTTTAATCGTGTTTTGATTAATAAACACTAATAGTTCTACTAAGAGCTTTACGTTTAGTGAAAAATCCGGAGTTTCATCGACGAACAAAACACATTCAGACGCGGTATCATTTTATTCGAGAGAAGTACGAGGAAGGTCAATTTCAACTACAGTATATTGACATGCAGAACCCTGGTTACAGACATCCTAACTAAACCATTGCCAAAACAACGATTTGAGATGTTACGGTCAGCAATGGGAGTCAGTCAGTTGAAAGAGAAAGTCGACCTATAGAAATTATTTACTGAGGGAGGGTATTGAAATATTTAATAAATAATTTGTATTATATTCATCATAGAATGTGCTTATTAATATTATAAAACTGCCCTTTTTCACTACACATCCTTTAGTACACTTCAATCCAAATATCGAAAAAAACCAAAATCTATTATAGAATTCTCTCCAAAGCGCATAAAAATGTTATTTTTAGATTAATTTTTTTCAGACTTAAATCCCCAAAACTGCTATCCTTTCTTTGCCTTCTAGAGGAACGAGTTTATAGGAAAAATGTTTTCCTAAAACATTACCCATCAGCTCCTTAAATGGGAGGGGGGAGTTCTAGAAATCTTCAGGCAATTTAAAAACTCTTAGAGCTCCCTGAGAATTTCGTCAGATTAAAAAAGTTATTGAGGGCTATGCCTTTATGATGTCTTTCAAAAGTATAAGAAATTTGAATTTAACAAATCTTTTTTTGCTAAAAATTAAATTTAGGTCGAATAGTATTCACTGTTAATTTTGGTTCTGTGTTAAGATAGCAGTTGTTTTTGTGTTCAAGACTCAGCTATACCGTGCAGTGTACACAATCACCCAATGTATTCACTAGATATGCTTAAAAAAACCCCAACAACAAAATACGATGTAGGCATCTTATGCGATCAACTGTATACATAAAAAAATATAAAATACGAACGAAATTCTCAAAATTCCATGTCAGTTGCTTATTTATTTGAGTTATTAGCTCCCACAAGGTACATTTTGTGCTTAATTTATTGTGTTTTATTTGAACGGGTTTCTTTTTAAGATACTTATTCTTAGACTTGAGGCTCTGTATAATAATATATTTAACATTTTTAATTATTGGGTTCTAATGATATCGGAAACATCTCAAATATTTTTTACAACGCAAACCAAAGTTGTTTTTTACTAGAGATATATTTTACCCATCTCTGGTGTTTTTTAGAAATATGAACGGTCTGTTACTATACAAATAACATTGCCATTTGCGTCATACTTTAATAAAACTATTTCTAGGGAGCTTGAATAATATCTGTTAAATAATGTCCTACTTAAGATATGGGATAATATAGAGACACGATAAATTTCTAGCGGAAATTAATAAATAAATAATCGGCCCAACTAAATGATTACAGGAACAAACGTTATTTTTAGATTAATTTTTTAATCTACTTTAGTTATTTTGTTCTTTTTCGTTTTCGTAAGTAAGTATCTATATATTGAAATGTACAATGTCATATAATTAATTCACATATTATTTATATATATATGTATATATATTTTAATTTAAAAGCTTAAAATTTTCGATTTATTACAGTATAAATTATCATAAAGGTTGAATAAAAGTTGTAAGAAAACGCAAAAAAGTGTTTTGATGGAAACGACGGGTTTGAACCTGGTACCGGTCACTTCTGAGCACTGTTCACGCTCAAACGCACTACGCATAATTTTTGCTGACGAGTGAGAAATAAATCTTTTTGAATTGCAAGATTCCCCCGGAACTACGGACAAGCAATCGACCCCATTTTAACCCCAATTTAATACTCTAATCATAATATGCTTCTTGAAGGGAATTAATAAATAAACTTGTTTTTACTTAACACCAAAAATAAATTACATCAAACCATATAAGCCATGTACAAATACATAGGTTTATAAAAAACCCAGATATGTGTAATATTCTAGTAATTTAGAGTTGTTTTCGATAGAAAATACACAGGAAACACATTGTAATACGAATATGTCTTGTGCCCTTTCCCTGCCCGCAACTAACTTACTACTACTATTTACTTACTTGTATAATTATAACTAATATATGTGTATAGTAATATTTGTTTATTTACCATATAATTATTTAAGTATCTAAGAAGCTTATTTAAATTTTTTATCCATTTGTTTTCAGTATGGTTAATATTAATATGGACTATCTCTACTTAAATTGATAATTGTTATTGTCTGCAACACTACTACCAACCGCAAGTTTGGTATATTAAACTATTGTAGTCAATCAGTCTAAACCAATTCCATCAATACATTGTCGAATGTTGAGTCATATTCAATTTTCAGTAAACTCATAGCTGTTATATTCTAAGGTATAATATATAAGATCATCAATTTTCAATAGTTTAGTTAGTTGCTATAAATTCGTCATTCGATAATTATTATTATTATTTTATTTTAGTTACTGTGGAACACTATTGCCGATAACCGTTTTCCATTTAGGCAGTAAGAATAATGAGATAGATCCACAAATTCAAAACAAATATCAGTCAATTATACATTTAGTTATTCAGCTAAAAATGTAATTCAATAAAATAATTTAAAAATACTTTATCATTTTAAAAGTGAAATAACACTTTTAAACTTTAAGTAATTAAACACACATATACTTAACATATCGATATGTATTATATATTTTATTTATTGTTTATTGGTCCTACTTAAGATACGGGATAATATTATTAGGACACGATAAATTTATAGCGGAAATAACTAAATTAAGAATCGGCCAAACTAAATTATTACAGGAACAAATGTGAATTAGTTATTTCAGCAACAAATGTATTGTGATCTTTTAATAACCAGATATTTAATTGGACCTACTTTGTATTTAAGGAGGAGGTACTAATTTATTTAAATTATTAGCTATCACAAGGTACATTTTGTGCCAAATATATTTAGTTATTTAAACGGGTTTCTTTTTAAGAAACTTATTCATCAATGATTTCCTGATTCAAAGATCTGTATAATAATATATTTAATATTTGGTTCTAATAATATAAGGCATATTTGAAATATTGGACAATTTTTTGATACTACGCTAACCAAAATTGTTCTTTGCTAGCGAAATATTTTATCCGCCTCTGGTGTTTATTAGAAACATGAACGTTCTGTTTTTTACATATAACATTGCCTTTGCGTCACACATTAATAAAACTGTTTCTATATACTTTGAATAACATTTGTTAAATAATATATATTATATCCATTTAGGCTTTATTCGTAACATAATAGTTTCTAAAATACTTAATTGTTAATGTTTTTAAAAAGGAAAACTAAAAGTTACAATTATTAAAAAAAATATATTTAATGTACTTAATGAATGATCTGTTTATGTTGACATAAAATATATATCAAATAGGTATTTTTACAATTGATTTTTGTACCATCCTCCAACACAGAAAATATTACATATTTAAAAAAAAATTTAATAGTTAAAAAAATAAAATTCTATAAAAAAAACCAAAAAGAGTTAGTCTATAAAAAATTTGAAATAGACATTCTTTTTCGATATCAAATATTATGTAGGATTAGTTTTCGTACTCTACATTTTTCTTATTTCAATCACAATGAATCCAAACCAATACCATTGTGGTTGACCAACGAGACATTTTTTTCCACAATTGACTATACAATACAAATAATATATTCTACACTGTTTTACTTAGCCACTCAACATTAGAACTAAATTTAAATAATATAATCTATAGCATCCAATCTCTATATAATAACCATTAAGATGAATTATCTATCAGAAATATAAACGATGAACCTGTCAACCAAATTTGCACAATCATTTAATAAAGGTAGAAATACAAGGAAAGGATTTAGAAGCAGTAATAAATAGTTGGAATAGATTATATGAAAAAAAAATACAACTTTACTTATTCGGTAATTATTTATTTTTTTGATAGACCTGACATGATACAGAAATAGGCTTATAGCATTACGTACTTACTATACAAAAAATGTATTATGTGAAATATATTATTGAAAAAATCCTAAGACGGTTGTTTTCCCGTCAGCTTAAATATATGTATAATATTTTAAAATTTCTGATTTTATAGTGTATATAGTGATAATAATATGATGAACTATAATATATTACGTAAAGAACAAAATAAGGATGCCAGTGTTTTTCTGACAATGGGTTAGTATGTGGGTGCAGTTTGTGGACGTCCGTGTTGTAAGTAATACTCGAGTGTATTGTCAAGGCCATATGAGCTAAAAACTGACCATGTAGCACCGATTTTCCTGAATGTCATTTCGGTAGCAGAACAACTTGTTATGATACATGTACGGCTAGGCGAGTCAATGTTAACTTCGCTTATGTATGATTCTGGACTTAGTGTACTCCAGTATATTCCGAGCAAACGACAATTGGGTAACGATATAACATCCTGTACAGATCCTGATTAAAAATTTGAAACATTTCTTTTTTAATTTGCTAATAATAGCTTACTAGATACTACTTATCCTTATGGTACAAAAAACTATTTTATTAGGTTAATACGAAGTCATAAAAAATTATACAATAGGCATGGTGTCGTATTGAACAGCCATGATATTTGTATTACATGAAAGTACGTGTTAGTAATTATAATTTATTTAGTTAATTGTTAAAATCTCAAATTATTTGTATCCTTGTCCTATCAAATAACTTAAATATATAAAAATATATTAATAGCGTTCAAAAACCATACAACTCCATAATAATATTTACCTAGCATACGACGTCTGATTATACTTTTTAAAGACCAAGCAACAAAGTCTCTTCTCATGTTTGCAAGGTTTTCCAATTTTTCCTCAACTATGACAATAATTATTAAAAGACCGTGTTGAGGAGACATAATTAAGATAAATAATATATTATTCGCATAATTGTGATACAACTAACTTTTTGTACAACCACATATTATTGTTGAACCTCAACAAATGTACTTTTTCTATACTTCAAATCCCGAATAATTTATTACACATTAACACTGTAGTCTCACTTTCTGTCCCTCTTTCCTCAACAAAAAGTTGAATTTATTACAATTCTTTTTTGACACAAAAAATATAATAAATAAAATTAAGCAAAGATCAACTCTAAAACAATTTTTAAAGGCTATTTATGAATATCAGACCAATCGTACATACCACCCAAATAATCTCCTGGCATATCAATTCCTGTAACAAACACATCAAACATCAAATTATTCTGCTGTTAATAAGTCCCGGTTTATATATTTTATACATAACATCCCACTAGGTCAATTAGATCAATATTAATTAATGCGCAGTATTATTGTATAAATGTAAATTTATATTGTATAACGATTTTAAACAACGGTTTAAATTTTATTTCGAATGATTTTTTAAAATCTTAAACATAAAACATATATAGTTCTTTTTTTAATTTAAAAATACATTCTTTTTTATATTTACCTAATTTACTCTCTATGTCTTGAATCATTTTGTCGAATAAATCATCATAGACTTCTAAAATTTAAAACAAAATACATTTTAATGTACCCACATATATTTTATTATTGAGACCGATATATCATATTGGTATTTGTCAATAGGACATATTGTTATTCTCAAAGTAATTATAAATAATAAATATGCAATAAGTATAATAAATATATAATATATGAAAAAAGGTTTTTATTTTGCATTAGGTGAACTGGAAGTTCTGAAATTAATACAAAAATCTCGTGTGCATAAAGAATATTAAATAACTGTTTGGAAACGCTTCCATAAAGTGCAATGAAATGTATTACCTGTTCTTCTCATGAGAATGTTCTGGATGATCTGAAATTAACAACACAAAAATTAATGTAATTGCATTGAATTTTCTATTCTATTATAAACAGGATGATGAATTTCAAGGAAGAAAAAACATGTGTGCTAGTAATTTGGAAGAAGTATGTTTCACTGTATATTCAATACGATGAAAGTCTCTTTGGCGAATTCAATAGGAATGAAATATTAGAAATAATTTTATCAAATTTAACAAAATCTATTACCCGGTACAGCTGTCAAAAAATTAATATGGCCTGAAATTTTAATTAATAAATAATATTGAATTGAATTTGCTATAGTG